TACTCCCAGTAGGGCCAAAAGTCTGTAAACAGCCCTAGCGTCTCCACCTAGGTTTCTCCTGTCTTCTTCTTTCTCTTCTCATTTCACTTCCAGCTTCTGGATCATAGAGAGGCTACTCGACACTACTTTTCTGGCCTCTGAAAGATAACAGACTTTGGTAACACCAGCAGTAACACCAGCTTTGCTTGGGAATTTTTAATTTTTTTTTAATTTGTTTGCATTTTTGAAAGCTGCAGGTAAAGACTTGCTTTAAATATAGAGAAGCAAAGAAATCCCCTAAATAGAACAGTTCCCTTTTCTGCAGTAATACCACTGTCTTTTTTTATGGGCTGTTTGGATTGTTCTACTGCAGTATATTCCAGTTTAAAAGCAAAGTACCCAAATCCTTAAAACCCAGTCTTCTTCATTTTGTTGCAGAGATATAAAATCTGAGAGAGCACACAAAATGCAATGTTACCATCACACAAAATTGAGTGTTTTCTTCCAAAGAGAAGAACACAGCACACTGTAGGGTTTTTCATTCTTTGTGATCAGAAGTCCTTTCTTCTGTCTTTACAGCACAGTAAGTGCTCAAAAAATACCTACATGGATAAGCATGGAATTTCTTTAATCTGTAAGTACATTGAAACTTTGGACAATGGACTGCTTTTTCCTCTGAATTACTGTCATAGGCCCAGCTTATGTCTTAGCTTTCACTTGCTTTTTCTGTTGACATCTATAATATGATAGGGATAGTCATAGTGATTCTTACCAAAAAGAGTTGCTTCTTTGACTAAATCTACTTTTTGGTAGAATATCCATCTATTTGCTCTTAATTCCCACTCTTAGCTTCATAACTGTGCTTCAGAAAAACTTTATCACATTTTTATTCTCTACTAGCACACGAAGAGAGTGAATGTCAATGAACTGGTCCTTATAAAGCCACCATTGCCTTAGACTTTTACCTCTGAAACCACAAAAGATCAGGTCAGGCTCTGTTGATTCTCTCATGATTCTCTCATCTCTATGGATGACTGGAGTTTTTTAAGTTCTGGATGTTCAAAGTGAGTTGTTCATCTCCTCAATCAACAAAATAGTCATTAACAGACATGATCAAATGCACAAACACAATCATACGGTGTCATTTAACAGGTTGATTTTTGATTCATGCCTGGCTCTATTAGCACATTCCTCGCTCTTTTAGTACTGCATGTGAGCAGGTACTTTTTCCTCTTTTTTTTTTTTTTGATAGAAAATAGTTTTGAAGTAAAAAAGTTTCTAATATGAATAGACTTGTGCAGTGGGTTGAACCTGGACAGATGCCAGGTACCCACTAAAGCCACTCTCTCGCTCCCCTCTGCAACTAGACAGAGGAGAGAAAAAAAAAAACAGCAAAGGATTCATGACTTGAGATAAGAGCTGGGAGAGGTCAGTGATTGATTACCTTCATGGGTAAAACAGAATCAAAGTGGGGATATTAATTAAATTTATTACTAACAGAATAAAAGCCAGAGAGTGAGAAATAAAACAATCTTAAAAACACCTTCCCCCACCCCCTCCTTCCTTGCATGTTCTCCCTCCTCCCCCCCAGCGGTGCAGGAGGATAAGGAATGGGGGTTATAGTCAGTTGTTGTTTCTGGGGTGCAGTCCTTCATGAATGAGCTGTACCCGCATGGGTCCCTCACAGGGGCTACAAGTCCTATCCGAGAAAAACCTGCTCCAGCTTGGGCTTCCTTCTCCATGGGCTGCAGGTCTCTGGCAGGACCCTGCTCTATCCTGGGCCTCCCACGGTGTCACAGCCTCCTTCATGCATCCACCTACTCCAGCATGGGTTCCTCCATGGGCTGCAGGTGGGTCTCTGCACCCCGATGGTCCTCCATGGGCTGCAGGGGCACAGCTGCTCCACCATGGTCTGCACCACAGGCTGCAGGGGCCTCAGCTCTGGAGTCTGGAGCACCTCCTGCCCCTCCTTCTGCACTGACCTTGGTGTCTACTTTGTTATTCCCATGTTCTCACTCTGCTCTTCCCTGACTGGAATTCTTTCTGTGCAACTTTCTGTTCTTAAATATGTTATCACAGAGGTGTTACTATCACTCTTGATTGTCTTGGCCTTGGCCAGTGGCAAGAAGCATGTCCTGGAGCTGGCTGGCAATTGCTCCACTGGACAGGGAAAGTTTCTAGCAACTTCTAACAAAAGCCACTCCTGTAGCCCCCTGCCCCGCTACCAAAACCCAGCCCCAGGAACCCACCACAACTTGCTTTGCTACACTTGTTCCCTTCATAATATATGAGCTGTGGAGAAGAAAGCAGGTCAGATATCCACTATATGGTGTTGGCTGGTCTCAGTGACAGCTCAGTATAATTAATATTTACAATTAATGTAAGAGAACGAACCTGGAAAAGAACTGCCCACTTATAGCTCTTCAGTCATCAATCCACACTCTAGTTGGAATCAAGGAAGCAGAAATACTCATTAGACTCATTTCTGGGTCTCTAGAAAGTAGGCCTTTTTGTCCCCAAGGAAAGTCAGCACTGCACTATCTTTAGCTTCCTCTCTTGGAAATATCTCTATCTCAGTTAGGTATGAATAGCTGACATATATGAACTATATGTTCAGTGGGATAGGAATGACTGGGGGATTTTTAAAAAAAAGCAATTCCTGGAGCATCCTGAAAGGGTGCTGGGCAGCAGGTGAATTTTTCCAAATATAGTAGCCAAGAAATGGGAGTGGTAGAGAAGTACATGGGTTGTTCTCTCTCCTATATTTCTAACTCCGAGCAGAACGGATCTGCCTGTTTTTAAGAGGAAAATCTTGACATACCTTGCTGTTTGAAAATGTCATGTTTTCTAGTGATGCTTCAATTTCAACATGTGAAGAAATAAAATTACTTTACATGGATTATAAATCTCCATATTTAGCAAATTACATTGCCTTCTGTGAAGCAAAGCCTTTTGAGGTATAAGGGAACTTTTGACATTTTATATTGTTTATAATAACCTTCTTCTTTAGAAGATGCACAGCTGTGACATGAGAAGGTAACAAACGCTCAGCATCAGGGCCTTGAGTAGCTATTTGCATTTGGATGCTTACTACCTGCAATTTCTGTCTGTTTTAGTGGTTTGTGGTTTGGCTTTTTTCATACTTGGAGAAATGGACTGAGGGCAAACCCACATCACAGTTTTTGATAGTGATATATATTATTTGAAGATTTCTGTCAAGGTTTAACCAGCACAAATTCATACCCAAGATTTGAAATCCTCTTTTTCCACTTAAAGAACTTTTGTAATTTGCATTGTCATCTTCCTGAGTGCCCCCACAGACCTGACTATTGCCACCCAGTCCTCCAGAGCTTCCCTGCTCAGAGCCCTGGACGCCCTCTCAGACCCTCTGGTCCATCAGCAACACCACAGAAGGGACAGTCTCCAGCTCCTCACAGCCCTGCCCCATCCAGCCATGGGCCCCACCGAGCCAGGCACACCTGCAGGCCCATGACCCACCCCAGTCCTAAAGGAGGTGCCTGATTGCAGGGGTTGGGGCTGCCCTGGGTCCCCTTGATCTGGATTGGGGGTGGGATGGGATGGGGCTGCTAGGTCTTGTCCTGGTGCCCTCCATGGGGAACCCCCATCCCCCACCCCCCATCCCCCAGAGATGTCTTATATTGAGAGATGCTTTGTACTTCTTCAGTATTGCTTAAAGCTAGAGAGAAATACACGTAAAAGAAAATATTTTTATGCACTTGCTGGATTCTCAAGCAGCAGCATACTCTGTAAAACAGAAAGGAAAATTTAACAAGCTAACTGCTTGTTAGTGTTATATGCAATCATGAGTTAAGCATTTACATAAATTTGCTATGAATCAGGAGGGAAGTGATGAACATTGTATTTTGCAACACTTCCGATGCTAAGACAGTTCCCCAAACACAAGGGAGGAAGACAGCCCTTTTTGTAGCTATACAGCCCTTTAAAATACAGTCTTTCCATCTTCTCTGAACCTGAAGACTATGACAGAAAGATAAATGAAATAAAGACATTTTGAAATAGAAGGTAGGTCTACCTTTTTCTTTCCAACTGTTCTGTTTGCTGAGGTATTCACTGAGACTTTAGGAAGTCCGGGACTGGAGAGGATATCCTAGGCAAATATATAACAAGGTGTCAGAGGAGTATATGGAGTGAAGTTGAATGGAGGGGGTTTTTTTGCAAATAAAGTACCTGCTGCCTGTTAAGAAAGGTCCTAGACACAATTTTTATTTTTTTACTGGATTTGATACTGGATTTGTAGAAGTTAGACAGTGCTCCTAGATCATAGAATTATGATCATGGAATGATTTGGGTTGGAAAGAACCTTGAAGATCATCTAGTTCCAATCCCACCATGGGCAGAGACACCTTCCACTAGATCAGGTTGCTCAATGCCCCAAGTGGCCTTGAACGCTCCCAAGGATGGTGCAACAAGTTCTCTGGGCAACCTGTTCCAGCACCTCACTGCCCTCACAGTGAAGGTTTTCTTCCTTGTATCTAATCTATACCCTCGAAAGCAAAGAACTAATACCCTCAGCAAACTTATATACTGGGTAACTTGAGTTGAATGATACTGATGTGACCCATTTTGATGTTTTCTTTTTGCAGCTGTTTACCCACCTGCCTGACATCTATTAATCCTAAACTTTGTATACAGCAGACAGGTAACCAATCTTTAGACCTTAATATAGTATCCACCAAATGTACGTCTGTAAGGTTTATGCATTGCTCCTGAGATCACCAGCTTTACAAATCAGCACACAAATTGTTTTGTTGCATCTATAATCATATCTTTGGAGGATTTATCCATAAAAAATTCTTCATTGAGTCTGTCAGTGAAAATATCCTTCAGTGTTAGTACCCAGAATGAAATATGTCATTCCTAACCCAAGTAATAACTAACTGGACTTGCAGGTGTCTAACACAGCTAAGCATGTGCCATGATCCTCCAGACTGGAGGAATCACATTAGTTTTCCTCATCACAGATATTCCTCTATTTGCAGGCATGAATGGGTCAGCCATTGAAAATTTCTCCTGTGTGATTTATAACATTTGCCTCATGAACTGCACTTGGCAGGCAGGAAGGGGTGCTCCAGCAGATACACAGTATTTTCTCTACTGGCAGAACTCAAGGTAAGTAGGTCTGCTTGAGTCAGGGAAGCCTGAGTTCTCATTCAACACATCACACTACCCGTGTTTAATGAAAATACCTTGCTTTATACAGAGATGATGGACAGATGGAATGTGAGCTTTACATTAAAGACGAAAACGGCAGAAACATGGGATGTAGATTCCAAAATGTGAGGATAGAGATTGAAAAAGCTTACTTCCTGGTTAATGGGTCTAGCAAAAACTCCCTGATCCAGTTCTATGATGAGTACATTGAACTGTATAAAATTGGTAAGTAAATAATTTATTTTGTCTTTATTTTCAATATTGCATGAGAAGAGTAGAGTATTTATCCTTGAGAAGGAACCATGAACCCTCTCTCACCTAGAGATGAAAGTAATAGACTGTGGCATCTTCAAGAAAAGCTATTCCCCAAGCAAAAGAGCAATGAGGGAAATTAAGCAAGAAAGCTCCACAGCTGAAATCTGCCTCAGATTCTTTAGCAATCTACCCTTATTGGTTTTAGGTTTTTCTCAAGGAAGGTTCACAAGACTTAAAAAACTGTACTTTCCCCTGATGTCCTTCCAGTGATGGCCAAATATTTTTCAACAGAGGAGACTTTTTAGAAGTTTATCTGAGCACAGATTTCTGCTTTTCATTGCCAGTGGGGATGACACAGAGTGGCATCATAGCCCTGATTAAATTAATTAATACAGATACAACAGAGCTTTCACATGTAGTGCTCTACTTGAAAGTATCCTGTGCAATTACTTCTACTGTGGTAAAGTCTCATTGGCATTGTCACATTGGTTTTGGTATTGTCTTCAAAATGTAATGTCACTCACAGCAGATGAAACAAGACTGTTCTTTGACCAAGTAGCCCATCACAAATAGGCCAGGCCTATCCCTAAAGATTGATGTGAAGTAGTAATCTAGCTGAAATTAAGCTTTCCTGCACCAGCCTTTTGTCACCCTTTCTGCTGTGAGTGACTGTCTTTTGCTGTTCCAATAATCAAGTCCTTGGCAATGATCAAAATATAAAGGTCCTCATATTTTTGCTTGTGAAGTTAGGGGAGATACATGAAAAAGTTGCCTAAATTATTAAAACTGAAGTGTCTTTCTTAAATTTGTATGGCTATTTCTTTTGCAAGGGGAGTAAACTGTATAGTTCACAACATCAAGAAACCAACACCGTCATGTGACAGAAGTATTGTTGTGAGGAGGCTTAAAGACAAAAAAGTGTATTGAATGTCTTACTTCTTACTTACTCTGGGTTAGCAGCAGCTAGTTCATCCACAGTTATAAACATTCTTTCAGAAAAAAGACAGTACTCTACTTTATTCATCTAGAAAATGAAAGGGGTTTGTATCTTTGCATGCTCCTATATAATCTTCCCTGGCTTAATTTCTTTTTTTTTTTTTTCTGATCCTGTGGACATGATTTAGAAAACATTGGTCTTCCAACTATTTCTGACAAGTCCTAAGAAAAATAGATACAAATGAGTATCTTTCTTCATAGAGGTGTTACTTGTAATTTTACTCTCATCAGAGCAAAAAGGGGTCAAGCGATTTTAATTATTTGGATTCTTGGTTGTGTCATTTCAGAAAAGCTCATGCCTCCATCAAATATCACTGTCAACTGTGATGGAAATAAAAATGATTGCATAATTCAATGGCAACGACCCCAAATAAGTCACTCTAACAAAGACAAGTGTTTTGAATATGAAATCAACATAAAGTATAAGGTAAGAGGAATTTCTTCACCTATGTTTAACATTAATTCATATGTTTGCATTTACCAGTACATATGGATGAAAAGAAAATAATTTTCTCTTGTATGGTGCAGTCTTCCTCACATGCAGCACCATATTCCTTGGTGGCTGTGCCTCTTGAGGATCCTGTTATGCCATACTGTCACCTTTTATTCTTTTTTTATTCCTGCTCTCTTGAGTGAGATATTGCTGGAGATATACTACGTAACGGAGACAGTCCCAGAGGAGAAACTTGGTTAATCAAGAGTTGAACATATCACAGCTTTATCTGTGACAACACTGAGAAAAAGCACTTCTTTCAGTAAAACCTGTTGGAATTGCCCTGGATTGGAGTCTTTCCAGTAGTGACTGCATAGCTGTGAAAGGGCAGAGCTGGGCTTTAAATAGTGAAAAGAGAAATATACATTCACTTAACAAGTTTGAGTTGATGGAGGTGAATTTCTCTATATATGAAATGCAAATAGCTTACCCAGACATAAGCATCACACTCGTTGAAGATTCATAATCCTAAATAAAAGGAAAATAAATGTGAGAGAAAGTAGAAAGGCAGTGTGATTAAGCACGGGTTACTGGGGGAATGATATAAGCTACAGAAATTCAAGACCTTGACCTTATAAGTCTTTTTGCAACAATAGGGAAGGAATGAGCTTGCTGTGTTCCGCTGCTAGAGTATATGTAAACAGCTGTAACTGTGGTATAATTGCGGCAAAAGACCACAGGGTGGCAGATAGTGACTACAAAGGAAAAACCTTCCTGAACTACTGCCAGATTTGGTCACTTAGTGGCTCATTGAAGGCCTTCCCTAGATTTCTGAAATTTGGAATTTCTTAGTCTGGATTGAGCTTGCTTTTTCATGATAAGTTTTCTTGCAAGCCCAACTAACTGCAATGAAACAGCAATATTCCTCTGAATTACTTGGCTATTGCAACAAAGAAACCTTATTGAAAACTCCATGTGGCACTGGAATAAAAGTCAATTGCAAAAAAGCAATACACACTTTTTAACATCTTTTTAATATGACTTATATTCATTTTATAAAGAATATTGAATTTCACACCTTGTCTGAACTTCTGAGCTTTTTTTAATAATAAGTAGCAGTTTTCACTTTATTAATTATGTCAAGGTCCAACAATTACTCCAGCAATTGAGCAGCATAGGCTCCCTTGAGACTATAAGATGCAGCTATAATCATGTCTTTGGAGGATTTATCCATAAAAAATTCTTCTGCAAAATTTATTGCTTTACCACTGCCTGGTCTAAACTTGTATTTCTTTACCAATACACTATGACCAACAAATGTTGTACTACAGTCGGCCTTTAAACTTTATTTTTCACAATTGAAGTTATTTGCATTGGGAGCAAATGCACACACAAAAAAAGGATAACTCCATGAGTAATATCATTTCAATCGTATTTTCTCATGTCTGAAAAAATGTTTCTTCTTCAGGTATGGAGGTTTTTTTAAGGCTTTATAGATCAGGATATCTGAGAAACCCAAAGGCAAACCTCACCAGTGAACTGAGCTAAAAAGTCACCAAATACCTCCCCCACGTCCTTTGTAACTAGTTTCCCCCAACTCTGTAAGCAACAGGCCTGCTTTCTTCTTAACCTTTCTTAATGTCAATGAACTCATAAAAAACTTTCTTGTGTTCACCTTCCTCACTACTCTTAACTCCAGCTGAGCTTTTTCTTTCTTGACTCTATTTCTATATAAGCAGATGATATCTTTGTATTTCTCCCAAATCCATTCTCCTTTTGTATAAATTCCTTTTTGTCTCTGAGCTCAGACTCAAGCTTCATGTCCTGCAATGCTCACCTGGCACACTTGATTGATTTTCTGCACACGGAAACGGACCACTCAGGTGTGTCCAGAGTAGGACAATGAAGCTGGTTAAGAGCCTGAATCACAAGTTTTATGAGGAGCAGCTGAGGGAACTGGGGTTGTTTAGCCTGGAGAAAAGGAGGCTCAGGAGGAAGAATGCCTTCTACACCTGCCTGTAAAGATGTTGTAGCGGGGTTGATCTTTTCTCCCAAGGAACAAGTAACAGGACAAGAGGAAATGGTCTCAAGTTGCACTAGAGGAGGTTTAGACTGGATATTAGGAAAATTTCTTCACTGAAAGGGTGGTCAGGCATTTGAGCAGGGAAGTGATGGATTCACCATGCCTGGAAGTGTTCAAAAAAAAACATGTGGCTGTATGTTTGGTCCAGGTGGCAGGATAAAACTGACCTCTGCCAGTCGCAATGCTTTCCCTTGAGTACCAAGGCCTGCGGCTGTATTTTTCTCAAGCTGCCTGAAGAGGGTCCAATCTGCTTCCTTTTCTCGATCAGGAGATCTGAAACAAAGACCTACTACATTAACATCTGTGCTGGTCTGTGCTCTGTTGCCTACTCACAAGTTATCTTACTGGTTCATCATTCGAGACAGAGCTCTATGCATACACAGCACTCCTTTATACACAGCAGAAGGATCAGGTTACCAAGCCTGTTTTCAAGGACACTATTGCCCCCCTTGGTGAAATGTATCCCATGTCTGCTCAGTAGCCCCTGTTTCTCAAAAAGGGTCCCAAGGTTGTAGAAGACAAAACCCTGCCTATAACACCAGTTACTCAGCCAGGTGTTGACTTGCTGGATAACTGGAATTCTGCTCAAGCCTTTTCGTCTCACTAGAAGGACTGAGGAGACACCATCTGGACTTTCTGCTCTTCACCATCCCCCCAGTGATCTACAATCACCCTTGAAACCTTTCAGATTGCCCCTAGGCATATCATTGGTGTCCTCACAGAAGAGCAGCAAGAGGTTCAACAGCCAGACAAGTCTGGCTGTCCTTATGCAGCATCCTGGATCCTAGCCCCTGGTAAGCAATAGACCTCCATCAGGTCAGGTCTGTTGATCAGTGGCATCATTCCCTGTAGGAGTTCTTTTTAACTATCATACACATTTTCTCTATTTTTTTAATTGTGGTGTCTCTCTTCTAAAGTTTGCAAAAGACCAATTGTCCTTCTGGAACTGCATTTTGTTATACTTTCACCTAGACTGATCCCTGTGCATAAGGTAGCTTGTTTGCAAGTACTAGAAGCTGTCATGGACAGCAGCTTGCCTTATAAAATCTTAGAATAGTTTAGGATGGAAGGGACATTAAATATCATCTAATTCCAAACCCCTGCCATGGGCAGAGGCACCTTCCACTCGACCAGGTTGCTCAGAGCTCCATGCAGCCTGGCCTTGAAAACTTCCAGGAATGGGGCATCCACAACTTCTTTGGGCAACCTGTTCCAGTGCCTCGCCACCCTCACAGTAAATACTTGCTTCCTAATATCTAATCTAAACCTACGATCCTTCAGCTTAAGGCCAAACCTCCACGTGCTATCACTACATACCTTGCGAAAAGTCTTCTCCAGCCTTCCTGAGGGACCCTTTAGGTACTAGAAGGCACTGTAAGGTCTCCCTGGAGCCTTCTCATCTCCAAGCTGAACAGCCTCATGTTCAGATGCCACATGAGCATGCATGCAATTATTTCATAAAACAAGTCTGGATAAATTTAGTTTTGTTTTAAAATGGAGTATTTCAAAATAATTACAAAAATACATAACTCTGGTAGTCTAATGGAGATTATAATATCTGCAGTCATTTGTTGTGTGTGGTCACCACATTACACACCAGTTATTATGGCTATTCAGAAAAAATGAGCATATTCTATTCTACTTGTCAAAAATGTAGTTGGAGGGCAGCCTAAAATAACTGTGAATCCATGTCAGTTCCCAAATATTTTCATCCAAAAGAAAACAATATTTACATAGTATTTGCAATTACATATAGTGACATTTATTGTATAATTAAAAAATTAGAAGCAAACTTAAAAGTTTATTTCACAGATTTTTATCTTCTTTTTTTTCCTGGTGTGTGTAAGAATAAGGTTACAGTTTTCATTCAGGTCTGATTTGCTTGTGTTTGAGTTTAATCACCAATCTGAAACAAGATTTGTATCTCAACTGCAATGGCAAGGAAAACAAATATTTTTTCATAGCAGAAGTAGTTACTATATAAACTTGGCATTGTGGATTAGTTAGATATTAGATACTAAATGTTGGATAAATTACTAGTTCTTCTGAACAAATTGTCAGGTAGACAAGAAAGAGAATGCAGAAAAACAGGACAGTAGATAAAAATTACTTATTATCAAAACACAAAATAAGCAATGATAATGTTTTTCCTTTTTTTCTAAATTTACAGGATAATCCTGAAGGAAAGCCCAAATATGCTTTTAAACAAGTGAGTCTGCTTGTTCTATTAATCAGTAATACATATTTGTTTCATAGTCAACTGTGAAAAGTAAATAGTATGCAAATGCCTTTAAATCAGTATGTGTTCAGTGCCCTATGCTTTATGGGATCCTTATTTATAGATTTCATGAATGTGTCAAACTGCTAAATCATCATGATATACATCATTTGTTGTACATTCAAGGGCAGAACTTTATTGTTTTTCTGTAAGTATTTTCAAAAAAACTTCTATTTTACATTATTTTCTCTACTCTCCCTCTCAAATATTTGGAACAGAATTTGAAGTTACACATCACAGAGGAGAAAACAGAAAACAGCTCCTAAGAATTTCATTTTGTTTATGAAAAGCATAGACCACAAAAGCCCTTTGGGTGGAAGGTGTCTGCAACTATGCTGAACCTCCTGCTAATCAGTGCAGCTTTAACATCCCATCTCTGTCCTGAGAGCCTCCAAGAGCAAGAGTGTTTCAGTAAATTGTAATAACACTAAGTATTGCAGTCCTCTACTTACTTACAGGTTTGGCAGGAAAGTTATGCTTTTCCTGAAAAGTCATAATGCAAAGACCAAGGCAGGTGAGGTACAATGCAGACAGCTTATTCCTCAAATCACTCAATGGTAGCATGAATGGCAGTATTGAAAGAACACAGTTCAAGATGTTTTTCTGTCTCTGTCTTTGTGCTCAGGGAAATTATCAATAAATCAAACTATATCATAAGAAACCACAGGATATACTTTTACAGTGTAAAAGATAAAAAGGTTCTAAATGTAAAAAGTTTAGTGAGTGTCAGGTTGCTTTTGAGATACACAGTTGCGTATATATATACATAATAAACATGAATACATTTATTTTTTGCTGTGGAACAGCAGTCTACTTTAACATACAATGCTTTCATAGTCTCTTAAGAGTTTCACTGGTAAATGGTAAGTGCATATTTTCAATACCTAGGCATGGAACAAAGAAAAGTAACTCAGTTTTGCTTTGTTTTTAGGAAGGGGGAAATAGTCACACATTTCCAAGGTCCAACACAAGAAAGAAATATCTCTTGAAAATGAGAACAGCTGGCAGTGCCTGCCTTGTGAACCCAGCCTGGGGGGAATGGAGTGCACCTCTTGAGTTTGGTAAGAACAAATCCGTGTCCTGGGCTACTCTTCCCCCAGTGATATCCTGTCTACCTCACACATTGCTGTGCACCTGCAGACACACATATATATAAAAGGATTGGCTAACATTTTGCTTCAATCTACACTACAGAGAGGAGTAGGAAGAGACTTAACAGATCTCTTAACATTCTAACATAGGAAATAATATAAAAAATTTACACGGAGCTGAAATGCATACCTGCTTACTGCAGGGGATGGACAAACAGGCTCAATGTTAGTCCCTCCCAGCAGACATTTCTGCTATATGTTAAATTACAGAGTTCATTTTTATACCAAGCCAAACCTTTCAGACTGATATTCACCAATAAGTCACCACAGTACATGTTTAACAAGAAGTTCAACAAGACCAAGTATAAAGTACTGCACCTGGGTCGGGGCAACCCCTGGTATCAATACAGACTGGGGGATGGAGGAACTGACAGCAGCCCTGCTGAGAAGGACTTTGGGATGCTGGTGGGTGAAAAGCCGGATGTGAGCCAGCAATGTGCACTTGCAACCCAAAAAGCCAATCGTATCCTGGGCTGCATCAAAAGCAGTGTGGCCAGCAGGTCGGGGGAGGGGATTCTGCCCCTCTACTCTGCTCTCATGAGACCCCATCTGGAGTGCTGCATCCAGCTCTGGCAGCCTCAGTATAAAAAGTATGTGAACTTGTTGAAGTGAATCTAGAGGATGGTCACAAGAAGGATCAGAGGGCTGGAGCACCTTTCACAGTCTGAGAGGGTTCTGGTTGTTCAGCCTGGAAAACAGAAGGCTCCAGGGAGGCCTTGTTGCAGCCTTCCAGCACCTAAAGGGCCTACAAGAAAGCTGGGAAGGGACTTTGTGCAAGGACATGTTACAATAGCTCAAGGGGGAGGGGCTTCAAACTGAAAGAGGGTAGATTTAGGTTAGATATTAGGAAGAAATTCTTCACTATGAGGGTGATGAGGCCTGGGCAACCTTCTCTCTGGAGAAGGTTGCCCAGAGAAGCTGTGGAACTGCTCAAGGACAGGATGGGGCTCTAAGTAACTTGTTATAGTGAAAGGTGTCCCTGCCCATGGCAGGGAGGTTGGAACTAGATGATCTCTAAAGGTCACTTCCAATCCAAACTATTCTGTGATTCTATGATCTATTCCTCTTTATTAATAATAATAATTTATGACTGTTTCTCCTTCAGGAAATGAGGAAATTATTTCTTCTTCAGTGTGGATTTTACTCGTTGTAGCATTTGTAACACCATTAATGGCAATCATTGCAATTTTGTTCTTAAAAAGGTAAACTTAATTTATGGATTTATTTTATTTCATATGGGCGTGTGGAACATCTGAAGTTCTTAAACAAATAAGGTAGAGATGTCTCTGTAGTATAGGTAAACTAGTTTTCATTCCCACTGTAATAGAAATTGATTCAAATGAGTAATCCTAATGCAAGTGCTATGATGGTAATGCCCAAAGTCTCTCCCTAGCTGATCCACACAACTTTTTCCAGGGCACATTTTGTCAATGTGGCAAGGAGAGCAATTGTATGCAATTATTTCTATTAACATTACATCTGCTCTGAATATTTGCAATGCAGACTGCCTATACCACAGGTTTTTTGATTTCTTGAACTAATGAATTTGTTGCAAACACAGGTTGATTTTATTTACCAGGAAAGATTTCGCACTGTTTATTAGAATTGTCATAGCACACTCAATGTGTCTGGAAGCACATATGCTAAGCAGACTGTCTCTTGAAATAAACTACTTAAGTGAAGAAAAAAGGATATTCTGTGGTATGATGGACTCTGCATAGAAATATACAGTAATTCAGAGAAGATACGGCTTTCCCAACTTGTTATAATTTTTACACCCACTTTTCACTGTTTGTAGTGACTTAAATAGTGGGACAAATTCTTTTTCATTTTCAAAGAAGAAACTAACTACTAGCAAATCTTTAACCAAGAATGAATCTTTTACTGTCCAAATTATTAGTGTATTCTTGATATGTGTTCATTCTCTGCTGAGATTATGTATATTTTTCAGTTCATTTCTAAAACAGAAGAGGAAGAGAAGAACTTGCTAAAGTTAAAGGGTGCAATGGTTTTGTCATATTACGGTTATTTCGCTTTTGTATTCAATACTCTTTGATTTCCAGGACTGGCTGTTGGAAAGCAGCATTTCCACAAATCCCAGGGCCAAAACCTGCTTTTTTTGGACTGCCTGATACAAATCCAGAAGTATGTTCTCTCTTTCTATTTTTATATTTAATGTGTGAAATACATACAAAATTCTACTGGATGAATTTTTAAATTGTAAGGGACTTATTACAGAGTATAACTCTTCTTTTTGCCGTATTCTGAAGAAGTACAAGAGAAAATCAGCAGGCAAGTTTGTTAAGGGAAGTTAAATGTTGTGCTCTTCCAGAACCATGGGGTTTCTCCCATTCCAGTCTCACAGGTGCAGAGACTGACACTTCCACTGGAAGATTCAGGCAGCAGGAAGAGCTGTGTGTTTCCCCAACACGAGGCACAAACATGTACAATGACACAATAGAGCAGTGATGCAGCCAGCCACAAAGACCAGCACAGGAGGCTCTACCAACATCACGTCAACATCACGGGCAGTCTCATAAATAGGGGCCCAGACGTCACAGTCCTCCTGCTACTCTCCAGCTGAGCAGGGCTGAAGTTTGCCAGTGAGATGAGCATGCACTCTCACTCTCTTAATTTACAAGCACCATACATTTGCAAGTTCCTCACATCCAGTCCCTGTGTCTGAGCCCTGTGTTTAGCCCCCAGGTCACCAGCCGTCACCTTGAATCTCTCTTACTTACACATGCAGGATAGAAAGCAAGGTAACGAAGAAAACAGTTCAAAATAGGGTTTCATAAGGAAACAGTAGACTGCGGTGGTCATACACAGCATTTGACCACACCAGCACACTGACCAGCTGTTCATTTGCACCTTTTTTTTGTCCACTATTTTATCATGTTACTCATGCCCTGTTCGATTAGCTAAACTTCAGGCCATGGGTACCTATCTACTTTCACACCTTAGTGAAGTTTATCCATTTTAATTAGTTAATTTAGCTAAATTAACTAGTTAATTTAACAAATCCTTAATTCATAGAATCATTTAGATTGGAAAAGACCTTTAAGATCATCAAGTCCAACTGTTATCCCAACATTGACAAGCCCACCACTGAACCATGTCCCCAGATTCCACATCTACATGTCTTTTAAATACCTCCAGGGAGGATGACTCCACCAATACTCTGGAAAGCCTGTTCCAATGCCTGGCAACTCTTTCAGTGAAGAATTTTTTTCCTAATATCCAGTGAAAACCTGCCCTACCAGAATTTATGGCCACTTGCTCTTGTCCTATCTCTTGTTACTTGTTACTTGGAAGAAAAGATCAGCCACCACTCCACTACTCCTTTCAGGTTGTTGAGGAGAGCGAATTTGTTTGAAATCGATAATCTACATGGTGCATTATAGAAAAGCGTGTTCTCCCACCCACTTCCAGACCCGCAAAACACCCATGTGTCAGCATTACAAAGTTGCTGAAATTTCAATGTTATGACCAGCTAAGGAGAACTTTTCACCTAAGAAACAAAGATGTGAAATACTTTATAGCAATATGCAACAACAGTTGAAATTCTCTCAGAATTGTACAGGCTAACCTAATCATATATATAAATGCACATATGCATAAAACTGATGGAAGTTTTTATTTTCCTTTCAGCTGATGGAGAGCAAAATTCAGTCAACAACATCTCCAAATGAAGAGATAATAGTAGTTGCTGACATAGCAAGATAACCAAGAAAAATAAGAGTCTAAAATTGCATTTCTTAGACAACTGTATATTCCTATAGAAAGTCTGGAATAATATATACAGGCTTTCTTCGCTTTCTTTTCTTTTTCTTGTGAAAAACAGTGAGGCAGCCATGAGAGAATGATACTTCACATGCAACCTTTTTAAATGCCATTGTATTTGCTTTTAATTTTGGCTAACTTTAATTGTTTAAGTAAGTTGTCCTTATTGGATACCTTCCATTTTGTGAATATGAAAAATAATTGGTTTATCTCATATTAAAAGCATTAAGAACACAATTTTAAAAAATTCTGGTGCCTGAATGCCATTGTTCTACTGTCAAAAATGGCCCAATTCATACCTGAAGTTTCCTGGGAGCTCTTAAATTATGGGCAACTGGAAAAATGCGAACACAAGCTGAGACACTGAGTAGTGGCCTGCAATCAATGGGATTCTCAAGGGACAGGAATATATCTAAAACCCTAACTATTCCTAGAGTTTAAGTGTGTTACAAATTAAGAGATCAGCCACCTGCTTCTGTAGGTACTTAGCTCTTTATGTTCTTACTGTTCACTTGCTTTTTACTACCTTATTATTTTAATATTGTGTGCATGACTCAGTTAATCTCGGTTTTCTTTTGTTCAACTTGAGAGCTTTACTTCTGGGCCAAACATGAGGTATTCAGAGACACAGGGTCAGGACAAGGTGTTGTGAAAACAGCCCATGCTGTTGTTGAATGCAGTAACTGGTGACGAGTGATGCTTTTCAAGGATCAATGCATAGTGCTTAGCACTAGATTTCACCCCTCTAGAACCTCAATGACAGTGACAAGCTGTGTAAGTTCAGCAGTAGGGCACCAGGAACAAGGATTTTTCAGCCTGGAGAAGAGAAGCTAAGGGGTCTAACACTATCTTTCACTGTGTGTAGAGAAGACATAACAGGCTTGTCTGGGAGTTGCACAGTGTGAGGATGAGAGGGAACAGTCAAAAGTTGCAGCAAGAGAAAGTTGAATTTGATATAAGGAAAAAGAATTATTTAAAGGTGAGAGTTGGATGGTCTCTGGAATAAGTGTCCGAAGAGGCTGTGAAATCTCCATCCTTCAATATATTTGAAATACAACTGGACAGTTTCTGACAAACTTCCTTATAGGGGAAATGATTTATTATTAGATTTCTTTTATTCCTTTTGTTCCATAAAAAATCTTTCTTGGCCTTACTTACTGTGCTTTTGTATTTATCCTGTCAGAATTCACATGCTTTCCTGTTTTCCTTCTTTTGAAAGGGCTTCAACTTCTAGAGAAATGCCTTCTTATTTTGTACAGAGCCTCCTTCACACTGTTACTTTCCTAAGGATCAAGAAGATTTTTCTTTTTAAAGAGATAAAACCACACAGTATTTAATCTGTTTGTATTATGAACGGGACACAAAATTCAACATTTGATTTAATTGTGCAGGAAGATACTGGAGAGGGCATAACCATGTCTTTATCACAATAGTGCCTTCACATGTGATGCTCTGGGTCCATATCACTGCTTTTGTAGAAGCAAAGAATATTAGGTAACATTTGTGTTGCAATAACATACTATTGGCACCTGTTGAAAATCTAATTTCTACATCCCCTATGAAGCGTAGTGATGGGCAGGCAACATAAGCCCTTGTAAGAGCTAAGTAGTCAATAGAGACCACAAGGTCAGCATGGAAGACAAGAAGCAGATATTTTCACTTCCTGGGGTGTCTCCTGATACCCTTGAGAGAGATCAGAAGCACAGCAATAAACTCTATTTTACAGGTATATTTGATTTCTGGGTTTCTTTATTGTAGAAAGAAGCATATCCCAGCAAAGAACTCAGAATCTGAGCAGGTAATAGTAGAGCACAGACAAAACTTCCAATTTCAGTTAAAGTCTAATTCTATACAAGGCTAAGCCTTGGTCTGGAGCCATACCAAAAGAGTCTTTATTGTCTGACTCCCCAGTTTGGATGGTTGCTCAGTGAACTATTTACTTGTTCCTACCTGAGAAGGTAATGATGGAAGCGCACCATGACTTCTAAGGATGTCTTAAGGTGCAAAGAGAAAATGCTCAGCAATTCGCCTCCTTAAATGAATTAACCTTTGAGCACTTCCATTCACAGGAAAAAGAACTTTATCCTCTGAGTAGCCTCACTAGTTTTAACAACATATATCTTAGTGCTTCTTTTAGTCTCTGAAATTCAGATTTTGAGGGTCGGGACTAGGATGCTCTTCCTGGAATGGGGTAAAACAACTCAAACAATGTCCTATTTGCAAAGCTATCGGTGAATGGAGAAGGGGGTGTCATGCTGCTTTTGGTGTTGAATAATGCTGAAACCTGTCTGACTCATCATTTTCATAACTGGGTGAGAAATCACTGACAATCATTTTTATGCTTTGATATATAAATGCTTTGAGAATCAAAGGCTTAGATTTTTATACTATACATTTGAACCTTGCTATTTGATTATTAGACTGCTTTTATAATGATACTAGACATTTGATTATTAGACTAAACACTCCCAGGACTACTTTCTTGCACAGAAGCCAATTGCCATGTAAGAGTCTAGATACATTTTATTAAACCTCTAACTAAGGCAGCCACTTACAAACTACCTTTAGAAATTAGCCCTGGCCTGAGCTAACCTCTGGACTATATCCAGGAGTTGTTCAGGACATTACTTGCAAATCCTGGCCAAACTAATGCTGGGAACAGTTGTTTCTGGACATATTCCAGTGCTGGGGAGCCTTCCAGTTACCAGCGCAGCCAGGACTGCACTCTCTCCAGCTTATACTGTAGCTGAACGCAAACAGCTCTTGGCACACCTAGTGCCTTTGACACAGTTAATGATTACCTTTCGGTCAAAGAATTGCCTGAGAAGCTTTTTGCAGCAGATCAGAACAACAAGGCAAATTTCTTAAAGAGGCTGAATTCCTGCTGGACACACTTGTAAACCCTCTTTGTCTTTCTCAGTGTGCAGCAATGGTCAGACTTGAAATGCTCACAATAACTTTCTAAAAGAGTGGTGGGTTTGTGATAGACTGCACTAGTTTATATAACCTTTCTCAATGTCTTTCCTCATGGGCAAAATTGCCAGAGTGTGGCATAGTTTGACACCAGTCCACCAAAACCTAGCCATGAGCTATGAACGACCATTCACTGGCTCTCTGTAAGGAAGGGAATAGTAAAAGTACAATAAAGGCAGTATCGAGACACTCAGGAGATGGCATTATGAACTTGTTAAATAGAACCTAAACAAACTCCTCATTTGTTTCCTGTTTTCTCCTGGGAAGTATAACATACTTAACTGATTTTGGAAAGGTGCTACACCCACGTTCAAAAAAAAGGCCAGAAGTTCAATCCAGAGAACTGCATGCCTATAAACCTGGAAAACTCATGGCTTGAGTCCTCCTGGAGCATATATCTGTCACATTAAGTAGATGGTCTCTGGGAATAGTCAGTATGATTTCATCAAGGGTATATGCCTGTAAAAAGTGGGTTACCACAGGGGTCTATCCTGGGGTCTATCCAGTTTAATGCCTTTATCAGTGACTTGGAGGAGGTGATGGATTGCCATCGTGTTTGCACATAACACTAAATTGGAGTGACCAGCTGATTTGCTCAGGATGAGGGCTGCAATCCAGATAGACACAGACAAGCTGAAGGAATAGTCAAAAGAAACCTTGAAACCATTTGCTCACTTGAATTTACATTGTCTGGAAGAGGAAAAAATTAAAAAAAATATTTTAAAATTATTTTACAAATAATTCAAAAAATATTTTATATAAATATAAACCCCCCCACTGTTTTGAAAAATTATGTACATTTCCTAGAACTCTGTGCTTTACAGCAGCCCTTGTTTCTTATAAAACAGCTTCACACAACATTTGGCAACTTCCTGAAGGATGTGCACACAATTCTTCCATCTACTGCTTTTTTATGAAAGGTTGGTAACATTTCTGAAGATTTTGTTACCCTGGTGTTTTTCTCAGACTTCTCCAAATGTTGCAAATGCTAATGCTAAACTGAGACATTATTATTAACAGATTTTTCAGACCATGTAGAGCAAAAGTTGTGTCTTTCACTCATGACAAGCTATTCATGAATTGGCTAGCAACATCTACATCAGTAGCATGGAGCACCACCTGCAAGAGATCCCAGCAGACCACTCTATGCTGGTGGACCAAGACCTCTGGTGTTCAAAGGGGCTGTGTTGGAGAACTGGAGAGGTCTCTGTCCCCAAAAAACTATTCTAGTGTGAGTTTCAACCACTCATATTGACAATACTGAACTAGAATAAAACACAGAACAGCATATTAAACAAAACCAAAATAATTGCTCGTTCATCATAAGTACCAGGCCGTAGACTGCGGCAGTTCACATCCTCCTGAAATGACTCTTCCCAGAAGAAGGTGAGACCTATTAAAGGAGAACACAAAAGACTCCATATGTCCCAAAGGAAGCTGGTACCCAGGAGGGTCAGAGCCAGGACCTGAGGGTAGCCATGAGCCCAGCAGGGCTGTGCTCTCCCTGACCAGGGCCCATTCACACCACCCCATGAGGGAGAGAACGGGCAGCCAAATGCTGAGAAGGAGAGAGTGGGTATCGGTGCACTCAGAGCCCTGATGAATTAAGACAGGCTAGAGTTCAAAATCAGAGAATCACAGAATGATTAAGGTCGAAGAAGACCTCCAAGATTACTTAGTCCAACCCTTGGCCGAACACCACCTTGTCAAGTAAACCATGGCACTAAGTACCACATACAGTCATTTCTTGAACACTTTCAGGGATAGTGATTTCATCACTTCCCTGGGTAGCCCATTCCAATACTTGACAACCCTTGCAGTTGAAGAAATTCTTCCTCTTGTCCAACCTGAACCTTCCCTGGTGCAGCTTGAGGCTATGTCCTCTGTCCTGTAGTTACCTGGGAGAAGAGGTTGACCCCCACCTTGCTATAACCTCCTTTCAAGTAGTTGTAGAGAGCAATAAGATCTCCTCTAAGCTTCCTCTACTCCAGGTTAAACAACTTCGACTCCCTCAGCTGTTCCTCATATGGCTTAGAAATGGATCAGTTAATACTAACTCAGCCACTGTTTGGGCAGGCTGAAGGTCTTAGTCAGATGATACTTTAATATTACCCTCATGTTACCTAGAACTTCACCAAACATGCCACCACAACAGCATGCAAATCCTTTCAGTCATACAGACACATTTACATCACAAATATATGTGTCACAGA